TATACTAAACTATTCAATAAAATTACAAGAGGCCCAATGGGCCGGCCTGCATCACTCACCTGGTATTAATCTCACACTTGTAATCTTAAAAGTGGACTAAAATACAGCTACAGACAGAATATCAGTGTTTGATTCATAAGAACCTATTAAAATATTTAAATATATGACGCCTGTGACCTTGAAAGTCGAACAAGGACATTAGGTTGAAAGTGGGTCAAGGTCATTCATTTGAACAAACTTGGTAGCCCTTCATCACAGCATGCTACTGGCCAAATATCATCACCCTGGTCATTTCGGTTATTCAGACGAAGAAGTTTAAAGTTTTTAACATATTTGACCCCTGTGACCTTGAATATAGGTGAAGGTAATTTATTTTAACGAACTTGGTAGCACTTCATCCCAGTTTGCTTATGGCCAAATATCATCACCCTAGGCCTTGCGGTTATTAAGAAGAATTTGTTTAAAATAAAATATTGACGCCGGACGCCGCACCATGCCATAGGTGAGCTAAAAATATAAACACTATATGTAAGACTTGGGGAAAACATACCATGCAAAGCAAGAGAAAAGTAGCATATGTGCAGATTTATAGAAAAGAGATTCAAAATAATAGATGAGGTTCAGGAAATGTGAGGTAATACAGAATATGGTGAAAGAAATGTGACTCAACAGTTCTACAATGGCATATTCAGTCTAAAACAGAAACATAACACAAAGGAAACAGTATGATAGTGCATCTATGATAAATACGGTGTGTACTAGCTTTCCTGTCCAAAAAATCATTTTTTAACAGTTCTTTTTACACAGGTAAGGATAAGGATGTGAAGGGGGAAAAGGTGGTTAAAATGCGTCATTTATCACTTACCACTAGTTCAATACTCCTGTAAATTTGACATGTGCACCTTTAATATACACTTTAAAAAAAGTACTGTCTAATAATGGACATCATATTAAATATAAAAAGAACAATTTTGCCTTTCATTTCATTTTTGTCTTAATATATTAATAATATGTATCAAGGGTTATGCAATTTATTAAATGTATCATTTAGAATTTGTTGAAACGTTCTTCTCAAAACAGATCTCCATAAATCAGTAATATTAGGCTACTACCTGGTTTCTTTTTACATGGTTGCATCGAAGTTGAAGCTTTAGGCTTTGGGGGAGGAGCAAGGAAGGTATCTTTGACTTGGAAAACTGTAAAACAAAAATATAACTTTTCAAAAATACATGTTGTTATGTAATAAAAGATAAATATTGAATAGAACTTGATTTTTGTTTATTCCACAAATATTCTTCCTAAATTTCCATAGATAAAAATAATAATGGTTGCAAGATTTTTTTTTATTAAATGAAAATATATAACTTACATGATTGATTTCCTTTAGGCTGTTTGGTAGGTATAACATTCTTTTTACTGGCGGAAGGTAGTTTGGAGCCTGTAATTTAAATAAAACCATTTTTTCTTAAATTTAAACCCATATTAATTCAGGTACTGTATCAACAAACTTTGAAAATAGCTCCAGTAATATTAAATGAACAGACACCAAAAATGTTGTTTGAAATTTTTCTAACAAATTTAACAAACTCAAATTGAAATTTTAAAATTAAAATTAAAAATCTTTACTTGTTATAAAACAAACTTTCATGATTATAATACTACACATCATTTTAGGAAATGGACATGCCATGGATATGAAATGTATAGAATACAAGAATTAAAATAAAAATTAGGCAGAAAAACATATCCGCATTAAGCCTGGCACAAAGTATCAAGATGCTGTGATTTATAGTTTCCAATACAAAAAGTGATGGGAGAGAGGAAGGAAGAAAAGCAGTAAAACAGTCTTCACAACCCCCTTCTTTGGAGTGTGGGTTTGATTTCTATCTGGTTTTCTAAATGACTGTAAAAGACAAATGATTTCAATATTGTAATAAATTTACCTGAAAAACCTTGTTACAGCACAGACCATATTTATACCATTACATCACACTTAAAATGAGTTAGTACTCCATTACACTACACACAATACTTACCTTGATATTATATAGTGAAAATGGTTAATTGATTACCTGCTTACAATATTCACCATACTTACATACAACATCTACACCATTGTTATAAATATTAATTGTTGCCTGATTAAGACACAACACAAGATTAAATTGTTATGATATAAACTTGTTAAAAGGTAGAATTTTACATTTGACAAGCATTTAATTATATGAAGAAAGTCTTCGTTCTATTGCACCATTTTTGTTTTTGATAATATTGAGTTACACTACAATATATTTTGAACACAATAGTTGAAACTTAATCAATGGAGAAACCTATTCAAGTAAAATGAACAACTGTATCAAAATTAGAATATGGAGTGAATTAAGAACAGATCTATATGTTAAATAAGCTTGGTGTGTTGTGTTATGTTACTTTTAGTATGAGCTACAAAATAAAAGAAATGTATAGCAAAAGAAAAAGTTTTCAATCCCAAAATTGAGAAGTCCCCGAAAAGACAACATGAAAAGTAAAGTTGTAGACACCAGCACCAAAAGTATAGGTGTAGACACATGAGCACCAAAAGTATAGGTATAGACACATGAGCACCAAAAGTATAGGTGTAGACACATGAGCACCAAAAGTATAGTTGTAGACACATGAGCACCAAAAGTATAGGTGTAGACACATGAGCACCAAAAGTATAGGTATAGACACATGAGCACCAAAAGTATAGGTGTAGACACATGAGCACCAAAAGTATAGTTGTAGACACATGAGCACCAAAAGTATAGGTGTAGACACATGAGCACCAAAAGTATAGGTATAGACACATGAGCACCAAAAGTATAGGTGTAGACACATGAGCACCAAAAGTATAGTTGTAGACACATGAGCACCAAAAGTATAGTTGTAGACACATGAGCACCAAAAGTATAGGTATAGACACATGAGCACCAAAAGTATAGGTGTAGACACATGAGCACCAAAAGTATAGTTGTAGACACATGAGCACCAAACTACAGCACCAAAAGTATAGTTGTAGACACCAGCACCAAAAGTATAGGTGTAGACACATGAGCACCAAAAGTATAGTTGTAGACACCAGCACCAAAAGTATAGTTGTAGACACATGAGCACCAAACTACAGCACCAAAAGTATAGTTGTAGACACAAAAGTATAATGTTTCATTAAGTATAAGCCAGT